TACCTGCCGTGAGCATGCTAGCGTGAGTGTGGTAAGGTGAATGGCAGCGTGAGTGTGGTAGAGTGAATGGCAGCGTGAGTGTGGTAGGGTGAATGACAGCGTGAGTGTGGTAGAGTGAATGGCAGCGTGAGTGTGGTAGAGTAAATGGCAGCGTGAGTGTGGTAGAGTGAATGGCAGCGTGAGTGTGGTAGAGTAAATGGCAGCGTGAGTGTGGTAGAGTGAATGGCAGCGTGAGTGTGGTAGGGTGAATGACAGCGTGAGTGTGGTAGAGTAAATGGCAGCGTGAGTGTGGTAGAGTGAATGGCAGCGTGAGTGTGGTAGAGTGAATGGCAGCGTGAGTGTGGTAGAGTAAATGGCAGCGTGAGTGTGGTAGAGTGAATGGCAGCGTGAGTGTGGTAGAGTGAATGGCAGCGTGAGTGTGGTAGAGTGAATGGCAGCGTGAGTGTGGTAGAGTGAATGGCAGCGTGAGTGTGGTAGAGTAAATGGCAGCGTGAGTGTGGTAGAGTGAATGGCAGCGTGAGTGTGGTAGTGTGAATGTCAGCGTGAGTGTGGTAGAGTAAATGGCAGCGTGAGTGTGGTAGAGTGAATGGCAGCGTGAGTGTGGTAGAGTGAATGGCAGCGTGAGTGTGGTAGAGTGAATGGCAGCGTGAGTGTGGTAGAGTAAATGGCAGCGTGAGTGTGGTAGAGTAAATGGCAGCGTGAGTGTGGTAGAGTGAATGGCAGCGTGAGTGTGGTAGGGTGAATGACAGCGTGAGTGTGGTAGAGTGAATGGCAGCGTGAGTGTGGTAGAGTGAATGGCAGCGTGAGTGTGGTAGAGTAAATGGCAGCGTGAGTGTGGTAGAGTAAATGGCAGCGTGAGTGTGGTAGAGTGAATGGCAGCGTGAGTGTGGTAGGGTGAATGACAGCGTGAGTGTGGTAGAGTAAATGGCAGCGTGAGTGTGGTAGAGTGAATGGCAGCGTGAGTGTGGTAGGGTGAATGACAGCGTGAGTGTGGTAGAGTGAATGGCAGCGTGAGTGTGGTAGAGTAAATGGCAGCGTGAGTGTGGTAGAGTGAATGGCAGCGTGAGTGTGGTAGAGTAAATGGCAGCGTGAGTGTGGTAGAGTGAATGGCAGCGTGAGTGTGGTAGAGTGAATGGCAGCGTGAGTGTGGTAGGGTGAATGACAGCGTGAGTGTGGTAGAGTGAATGGCAGCGTGAGTGTGGTAGAGTGAATGGCAGCGTGAGTGTGGTAGAGTAAATGGCAGCGTGAGTGTGGTAGAGTGAATGGCAGCGTGAGTGTGGTAGAGTGATTAACATGGACTTAACCACCTGAAGCTACTCTCTCTCACAACATATAATTATAACAATTACCTGTCCACCTGCTCTGCACTCATGCCGTCAACACTATAATTAAGGACCTTCCTCCGTCTTAATATTTCTTCCCGCTAAAATTTTACATATCTTCATTTTACACGATTTGCAAATAAATTAAGTTTCATTTCAATTGCTTTAAATGTTTTACACACTTCTGATTTATGTTTTTTGTTTTATTGAGATTAATTTTTACTGTTACTTAAATTTCCATTAAACTTTACTTCAATGTGTATTTGATTTGGTTAAATTTTAGGAATTACCTGCGTGAATTTTTTATCACATTTGATTAAAACACAGGTACACAAAACACACACTAAATGCCCACAGATACGAAAATGCACACACATACAAATTATACATTAGACAAACAGGGTTTTACACAGTCAACAGACGGTCCTTTACACACAAACAGGCACAACACAACACAATATTCAACAACACTGGTTGTTGCGAGGTCAAAAATATACAAATACATGCAATATTTCCACATACAACTCCACATATTTCCACCACATGAGTAATGTTATCCAGTCATCGTTGTTGTTGTAGTCACAAACGCGCTCTATATCATTTTAATTAAACAAATGTGTGTATTATTTTGGTTAAGTTAGGTTAGGCTAGATTTAGTTAGGGGCAGGTAAAGTTAGGTAAAGTTAGGTTAGGCTAGGTTTGGTTAGGTTAGGCTAGGTTTGGTTAGGTTAGGTTAGGTTAGGTTAGGTTAGTTTGGTTAGGTTCGGCTAGGTTTGGTTAGGTTAGGCTAGGTTTGGTTATGTTAGGTTAGGTTAGGTTTGGTTAGGTTAGGTTAGGTTTGGTTAGCGAAATTAGGCCTAAGATACCGTATATTAGGCTAGGATTGCTCATTTAGGTCTAGCACAGGTTAATTTTTTAAGTATTAAATTTCTTTAGGATGCAATTTGCAGTAATCCAACATAGCAAAATTTGAACTTCTTTGGGTATACTAGTTCATTTGTGTACGTTTGATCAAACAGATGATGCAAGCACTATGCAATTTCTGGCGGATGGGCTGCCACTGGGTGTATCAAACTGCTTTACACAACCTAACTTATTGCTACACTTAATGTTGGACCGTAGTGGGGGATATTGTGGTCAATATTGCGTGTCTGATGTAGGTCAGGTAGGTGGTGTAGGTCAGGTAGGTGGTGCAGGTGAGGCAGGTGGTGTAGGCCAGGTAGGTGGTGCAGGTGATGTAGGTCAGGTAGGTGGTGCAGGTGATGTAGGTCAGGCAGGTGGTGCAGGTGGTGCAGGTCAGGCAGGTGGTGTAGGCCAGCACGGCCAGGCAGGTGGTGTAGGCCAGGTCAGTGGTGCAGGCCGGGTAGGCGGCGCAGCTATTAACTGAACTAATTGGTTCATAAAATTGTCTAAATAATGTGTCCTGGCGAAGAGCCGGTGGCTGTTGCATTAATTCTGTATGCACTCCCTCTCGTCTCCCCTCCTCCTGATCTCTCTTTCTCCTCCTGCCTCTCTATCTCTCGTCTTTCGTCGCCCCTTCTCCCTCCCTCTTGTCTTCCTCCCTTCTCTCTCTCTCTCTCTCTCTCTCTCTCTCTCTCTCTCTCTCTCTCTCTCTCTCTCTCTCTCTCTCTCTCTCTCTCTCTCTCTCTCTCTCTCTCTCTCTCTCTCAGTGAACCCCCACAGGAAGAAGAGCCGTATGAACCCAGTCTTGGCAACAAAATACTGCTCATATGTGTATATTTAACAAGAATAATGTGAACCAATTGTTTTCTAAGGAAGAAAGACAACATTTTCAAGTCTATTTACATATAAACATCTACCATGAACTCCTGTAAGTTCCACACTCCGAATTCTCCACCACAATATTTCGTATAGTTTAGTAACTTTACAAAAGTCTAACATTTGATCACTACAGATATTACAAAAAAATAAAATTTTACCAATTAATTAAACACTAATCCATTTTAATACTGCCATTACAAAAGATTACATATTTCGCGCCATGTTGTTCTTTTTGTTATAAGTGAAGTGGAAGCCCCCTGGCGTTCAGAGGGCTAAATTAGAAATTATTAGGGACGCTTTAATTTATCAATAAAACGTTGATTGTATTGGATGGGAAACATAGGTGCCAGAACTGTGGTAAATTTCTCATCTGCTACACTTTGCTGCTATAAATATTCACATGGCAACACCGGGTTAATGATAATGTAGAAAACTTTTTTTTCCGCTTAAATACCATTATTTTGAATTTGGCTGCCTGTTAATTTCTAACTTTTTGTTTGTTGCACAGTAATGCCTGTCTGACTGTTGCACAGTAATGCCTGTCTAACTGTATTTGTAGTACGTGGGTGAAGCATTTTTAAAGTTGTGGTTCGAACAAAATTCGTCAGTGGAGCACTTGTTCCGGAAGTGTTCGAACGAAGTCAGTTGTGAGTCGTGTGTAAACCGTTTTTCATTCCTAAACAGGGGGTTTGGCGGGTGCATGGAATTACTTTTGGGTTTTTGTTTGGAGGACGGGCTGAGAATTGTGGTTCGAACAGAGGACGTTTGATAAGCACTTGTTCCGGAGGTGTTCCGACCTTATCAGTTGTGAGTCGTGTGTAAACCGCTTTTCATTCATAAACAGGGGGTTTGACGGCTGGATTAACGAGCTTGGATCTTTGTATGCGAGGACGGGCTGATTATTGCAGCTCGTTTTTAGTGGTGATCAGGAGGCAACTATATTACTGATATACTCCAACGACCAGGAAGAGCCGCCACCACCCGACGACTGGCAGGCGGCGACAACACCCGACGACTGGAAGCCGGCGCCACCACCCGACGACTGGCAGGCGGCGCCACCACCCGACGACTGGCAGGCGGCCCCACCACCCGACGACTGGCAGGCGGCGCCACCACCCGACGACTGGCAGGCGGCGCCACCACCCGACGACTGGGAGGTCGGCGCCACCACCCGACGACTGGCAGGCGGCGCCAACACCCGACGACTGGCAGGCGGCGCCACCACCCGACGACTGGCAGGCGGCGCCAACACCCGACGACTGGCAGGCGGCGCCAACATCCGACGACTGGCAGGCGGCGCCACCACCCGACGACTGGCAGGCGGCGCCAACACCCGACGACTGGCAGGCGGCGCCAACACCCGACGACTGGCAGGCGGCGCCAACACCCGACGACTGGGAGGTCGGCGCCACCACCCGACGACTGGCAGGCGGCGCCAACACCCGACGACTGGAAGCCGGCGCCACCACCCGACGACTGGCAGGCGGCGCCAACACCCGACGACTGGCAGGCGGCGCCACCACCCGACGACTGGGAGGTCGGCGCCACCACCCGACGACTGGCAGGCGGCGCCAACACCCGACGACTGGAAGCCGGCGCCACCACCGGAGGCCTGCAGCCGGAACAATATTCTGCTCCTGCACCATAATAAGTATTTCAGGTCTTATTTTTATTCTTATTATATTTTGCTCTTATTTTATCAGATATTAGCGTTCAATATTTAATTATTTTCGTATTTGTCGTTGGGTATTGAGCTGTGTACCATAATAATATACAACAGATTAATTATGTAAGACATTATTATAAGAGTACATACAATAATTACAATTCTAATTGTGAGAAATAGGCTTTATATATATATTATATATTAGTGAGAGACAATAAAACAATACTATATAGATGACAGAGCATTTTATTTCTTCAAGAGGGGCATAGCATAAATGTTATATTTTTGGGCATTTGAGTATAATAAACGTTTGATAACACATGAATGCTAAATAGAGTAATTAACCCTATGGTTCGTAAAAGAAGGCGCTTTCCCAAATTTTGGGCCAATGATGATAGTGGAGTAGTCACCGGTGCCGCTCAGGGAGCCCAAGAGCTAGAGTCCACGCCCTTCGTCTAATTACCTACTGACACACGACTGGTCAGTCCAGTAACTTATAGTTTGTACTGTCTCTCAACTGATAATTACCTTACCTGCTCATCACGGTCTATTTATAAAACGTATTTAATGTATTTTTTCGTATTTTCCGAACCCCAGTTCAAATCTTCGGTTTTCCAAGTGAATGAAAATATATATATATATTAAATAAGGGGAAATCCAGTGAGACTCCAGAATTAAGTTTCGTATCTTCCAAGTTGAACTTTGACCTTACATCACCCAAGACAAGAGTTGTGGTGACCTCACAGACTGTTGAGAAAAGACTGGCATTAACCACAACCACAGATGAAATTGAAATTGAAATTGAAATAAGTTTATTGAACCACAGATGCTCATCGTGGAATAATGAGGCAGGCTATCACCACCAACTCATTGTAAATACTACTATAACAATTTTCATTGTAGACTTAAATCATCTGGTAAATCATATATCATCGTCTATAATAATTATTTGAACACTGAAATGTATAATGATAATTTATAATTACATATAATATCTGGATACATATAATTTTTATATGTAAGAAATATTTATAATTATCGAATAATATAATGTATACAAACAATAGATTTGTATAACAATAACGCATCTTGTATAATAAGTATCTATATTGATTATCTCTTAATCAATTATAATAATTGTCTATGATATCTATGAATATATAAACAATATATATTTAATTATACAAATTACAATAAGTGATTAACTATAATTCGATAATTAGCATTTGGAATCATGATCTATAATAAATATCAATTCTAATTAACAATAATCATAATCTACGTTACACTGAGTTTACTTTAGTTTTATACCTATATAGACTACACTTTTTTATTTATTTATTTATTTATTTATTTATTTATTTATTTATTTATTTATATATATACAAGAAGGTACATTGGGTTTGTGAGAATACATTGGATAGTACAGTATTTACATTCTTGTAAAGCCACTAGTACGCGCAGCGTTTCGGGCAGGTCCTTAATCTAGCAGATAATTTTAAGTAGGTAATTTCAATCAGAATTGATAAATTATAAAGATACAAGAGGCAGGATACAAGATACTTGTTAGTAGGTCCTAAAGTTAATGCCGTGGTCATAATTAATAACCCTCCAGAGGCTGATAGCCGTAATTAAACCCAACGCCAAATCAACCAAAATCATTATCGTTATCTAGAATTAATTTGTTTTATAATGGTTGGTAATTAAGGTTAACCGGATGTCCGTTAGCCGATCGTTAACGTTGGTAGTATCCGGACCGGAACACTGAGTGAATCTTTGTAAACACTCAAGGGGCAATTCACTTCTTTCTATACAATTATGTTCAGTAAACTCCAAAGTTTACCAAGTAATACACCGTTCAAGGGTAGATTTTCAGGCTGTCTAATATGTTTTGCTAAGAATAAGTATCCTAGTATAATTGAAAGTATTCCTACCTGATGGATTAATATTTGATTACGATGTTTTCAATAGTTTCTGTTGATATATTTCATTCAGTGAAATAAATTTCCAATATGTGATTAAATATACACACAGAAATCACAATAGCGTTATATAATCAAATGAATGATTAAATATGTACACAATTTTCATACTTCAAATTTATTAAATAAGTATGTTGACCCTTAGTGATTAATTCTATTTGTATTTACAACTGCATTAAATGTACCTATAAATTTACTTTTAGTGTAAAAGTATAACTGTCTACGGAGCCAGGAAACCTACCAGGGCCGACAAGGAAGGCTGTGAGAGACATTGCTGCTAGGATGAGCTGCTGGGAGCCGTGCTGAGGGCTGCTGCTGCTGCTGTCTGCAGGAGCTGCAGAGTCGTCACCAGCAGCGTCAGGAGGTGGGAACCACGGCTGGCGGTGACGGAGGAACCTCTGTTGAAGACTTCCTGCTGCACGGCCGCCCGTAGCTCGTCTGAGACAGTAGATTGCTATTACCAGGTGAGTTAGCAGGTTTGTCAGTCTGTCTGAATGCCAAGCATAATTTCCACTTGTGTCTTTGACTGCGTCTACATCTGACTGACGGTGTTGTCCGCTGTTTTTTTCGTCTTTATGTGCGTGTGAGTGTGTGTGTGTGTGTGTGTGTGTGTGTGTGTGTGTGTGTGTGTGCTGGATTGTACCTTTGTGCACCTGTCCGTATGCTCCAAGCACCTCGGTCTGTCTCACCGTGTACATGCTCATACATGACTACTTGTAATTCAGCAGATGTTATTATCTAACAATAACACTTGTCTGTTCTTCATCTGTCTGTGACTGTCTCTTTGTCTTGTTTGCATTATTGTCTGTTATCAATTTGTCTGTATTATTTCTCATTCACTTTCACTCTGTCTCATATATCAGAATCTTGACTCCTGGAGTAATTAATTATAATGTCAAGAAATTACTCGAGAATCTGGGTTCTAGGCTTATCAAAGCAGCAAAAGGCCCAAGAGCATCTAGCTACATTTTTTTTTTCAGCACGTCAGTGTGGCAAAATAGAGTGGAAAATACAGACTGCATTCTCGGTTCCTGCATTTTGACACAGAATATATCTTTTGTCCTGTCAATTTAAAACGTTCCGTGGATGTACAGGTGAAAGTGGCTACATCATTCTTGGTTATATTGAACACAAGATGAAAATAAACAGTAAAGAATTTCTATATTTTTATTCTTTTATACAGGAAGAGAAAGAAAGAAATATAGATTTAGAGAGAAAGAACAAAAATGCATACTAGAAATTTGTGTTATGTTTTGCGACCATGAAAGACAAGGGCCCCGCTATAATTAGAGAAGACATATGTGCAAAACCCTCAATTTTTATATATTTACCCTAGTTGGCCCTCGAGGCGAATTTCAACCCGTCGTAAAGAACGGGATGTCGTGAGACATGACACCGCTCACTGCATTCAATTTCACTTCTGTCACTCAATTTTGTTAATTATAAGGATTACGCAACGCACGCTAGTTTATAATAAGAACAAAAAGTAGAAGAAATTTTGTTTTATAAATTAAGTTTGTTTATTTGTTTTTGTGGTGTGAGAGAGAGAGAGAGAGAGAGAGAGAGAGAGAGAGAGAGAGAGAGAGAGAGAGAGAGAGAGAGAGAGAGAGAGAGAGAGAGAGAGAGAGAGAGAGAGAGAGAGAGAGAGAGAGAGAGAGAGAGAGAGAGAGAGAGAATCAATGATAAGGTCGACCCTTGTATAAATAAAGTACAATTAAAGGAGTTAAGAGATGTTAACTGTCCCTTATATGCGGCTTGCGCCTCGATCATAACCAATAATAACGACCCCAACGCCAGGTTATATGTATCTTAACTATCATTTACGATGACTCCAAGCAGTTAGATGGTTGAATTGGGCCATTAACTTGGAGATGATGGTTCTGGCAGGTCTATCAAGAACTGGCGTAGAGGGAATATCCCGGCAGGAATTGAGGATGGTTATGTAGACGAAGGGAGGGATCAACCATGACCTCCAACCGTCTGTGTGTACTGTATATCAATACCTCCACACACACACACATTTCGACGGGCTCACCATAGCCCGTGCTACGTGGACACTTCGTTCTGAGTAGCTAAAACAACAACAAACCACAGGGCCTCGCGGCTGAATAGATAGCGCTTAGGGATCGTAATCCTAGTGACCCGGGTTCGATTCCAGGTGGAGGCGGAAACAAGTGGGGCAGAGTTTCTTTCACCCTGAAGCCCCCCTGTTCACCTAGACGTAAATAGGTACCTGGGAGTTAGATGGCTGCTGCGGGCTGCTTCCTAGGGAGGGGTGTGTGTGTTTTAGAGAGAAATATATGTAGTAAATATAATAGGACATTCCGGATAGGAAAAATATATTGGTTAGAAAGGCGGGGCCCAAGAGCTAATGGCTCGATTCTACAGACACAAATATTAAATAAATACAAATATACACAGGTATAGGCGAAAAAAGGACATACACTCACCATAGACCGGACCATACATACAGACTTACTCAACAAATATTGATGTGGTTAATCACTAATTAAACAATGAACATTGCTGAACGTTGAGGGATCAGCATGATGAGGATACCATGATGATGATAACATGATGAGGCTAAAGGTGCGGTTAACCACTTACCACTGTTGACGTGGACAGAGACAGAGGCCGTGGGAGCGTTGACGGGGAGGCAGGTGTAGTTGCCGGAGTCACTGGTCCCCACAGACGATAACAGCAGTCTTGATGTGGTCTGCTCGCCGGTCTTCTCCACCTGTAAACACAGGTGAGTAGGGAGGAACAGTTGGGTATATTATTATATTATTTCGTCATACACACACACACACACACAGAAGACTCAGGAGCATAAATGAAAACAACATAGCAGCCATTAATTTAATAGAGATCAGCTTCTGTCGCCTGCAAGAAGGGTTGAAGACTGTTAATCTTAGGGAACTTTAATCCTGGAAAGATAGACTGGTAGAATAGAGAACCACATGAAGACCTTGTGGATTACAACACGAGAGAGAGAGAGAGAGAGAGAGAGAGAGAGAGAGAGAGAGAGAGAGAGAGAGAGAGAGAGAGAGAGAGAGAGAGAGAGAGAGAGAGAGAGAGAGAGAGAGAGAGAGAGAGAGAGAATTTAAAAAGTGCCAACAGTGTCCAACTAGGTGTGTACAGTATAAAGTGAAGGTATTTTACTGTGCAAGAGGGCAGGGAGTCATTCAAATAAGTGACCCATAAGTATAAGGTGGCGACCTTCAGCTAAAGCTGGCTACATAAGCTTATATAGATTAAAACAAAACTTTGCCTACACACAAATTTCCCCAATATAATAAAAAAAATTAATATATATTAAATTATGCTCTACACAATTACGTAATTCCGGATATACAAGAATTATTGTTCATAATACAATTAATCAACTAAATTACACTTTATTTTACTATATGGCTGTAATGGGGCTCTGGTTAACACAGAGTGTACTGACCTTAATTTGATTAGTCCTGTAAACTCGGTCTTCCCACAACTCTCTGTTTGTTTACATTGTGAATTTCCGAGAACCCGTTTCTTAACTAACAGATTTTGCATAGCTTCAGCTCTGGGGCCCCACCTTTCTAACTGTCGGTTGTCTCTGAGGATGAAGGTCGATTTTTACGAGGCTACCCTGACATTGGTGTATTTCCTCATATCCCTGTGGTTTCCATGCGTGTCTAGCTTAAATGTATGTTTTCTCGTAACGGTATTGCTTGACCTAAACATCCTCTGTTTAATCGACTACCCCGAGTATTTTGTGTGTCTGGATTATGTCACCTGTGTTTCTCCTTTATTCCAGTATAGCTAGGTTTATCTTAGATCCTGGTTAGCTAAGGTTATTTATATGACCAGTCTTAAGCAAATCGTTTTACTTTATCTTTGTTTTATGGAGGTTGGGGGCTCCAAACTGGTGCTGCATATTCTGAACCGGTCGGATATATGCCGAGTATAGCGTCATATGCTCTTATTCCTGTTCCCGCCCTCATGTCCTTGCACTAATATGGGCTGAATTCTAGTTACCACCTTTTTGATGCTATCTGCAACTTATCTGTCTTCCAGGAACGTCGTGCACTTCTCTTTCGTTTAGATTCTTCTTACCAACTGTGTGCGGTCATGAAGGAGTAACACACAGTAAGGCATCAGCTATATTAGTGAAACATATGAGAAACAGCATGAGTGTCAGCAATGTCCCTTGTTGCATTCATCACATTCCCACACTCACATTATTCCTAACGAGTCATGATTCGGTGTTTCTGGTTTTTCTATCTTAGCGACTTTTTCTTTGTGTATCTATTTGTTTCTCAAGTCATCGCCCTCTCTCTCTCTCACTTTATTCTCATCTTTTTCTATTCCCCAACAACGTTTCCTCTATAATGTTCGGTGCCAATGTCTCCTCTATACCTGGTGGCACCGCCTTGCTTCCCTCCCACCGCCCAACAAATACAATCTTTGCTCAACACAATGTCCGCGTCTTTGCCGAGATTTAATTCTTTGTTCAACGTTATCAAAATGCTCACTTAAATTTTTTTTGACAGTTTAGTTGATTATTGTTCATATTATTCCCATCCTGGGAGCCAGAGCGGCACCAGCCACTGTCCCATCCTGGGAGCCAGAGCGGCACCAGCCACTGTCCCATCCTGGGAGCCAGAGCGGCACCAGCCACTGTCCCATCCTGGGAGCCAGAGCGGCACCAGCCACTGTCCCATCCTGGGAGCCAGAGCGGCACCAGCCACTGTCCCATCCTGGGAGCCAGAGCGGCACCAGCCACTGTCCCATCCTGGGAGCCAGAGCGGCACCAGCCACTGTCCCATCCTGGGAGCCAGAGCGGCACCAGCCACTGTCCCATCACGGGCCACAATGCCTCTCACACCCCAAAATAAAACAGGGACACAAAAACTTGATGAGACGCGGAAAAATAGAACTGTAAGCCTAAGACGTGAAAATATAATCGTGAACATCAACTTGGGGTCTGTTTGTAAAAATAAATTTCTAAATTTTATAGATATTTTTCATTTTTGTTTATCTGTGAAGATGTATTAAAAGTGTCTATGAAGGTGTATTTGAGGTGTCTATGAAGGTGTATTATACATATCTGTGAAGGTTTATTATACATGTCTGTGAAGGTGTATTATACATGTCTGTAAATATGTATTTAAAGTGTCTGTAAATATGTATTTAAAGTGTCTGTGAATGTGTATTTAAAGTGTCTGTGAATGTGTATTTGAAGTGTATCGGCAAGGAAAACCGAAGGAGAAATTCAGTATTGTTATGAATATAAATTCTGTTTACTCCTTTCTTCCCAAAATCTCTCAAAGATTTAGCGAAGAAAACGCCTCTCAACTTTTAAAGTTGTGAGGCATCCTAATGTAACAAGAGAACAATATAACAGGAGAACAGTGTGACCAGAGAACAGGTCTGGACTCTCCAGCAGCCTATCGGGAACACACATGTCCACTCACATCTGTGGCTATAGATAGCAACCGGCCAGTGGAGCTCTGGAGATAATTCCATCAGATATGTTGCGGTCTTACTAATCAGTTTGGGATTACAAGTCAAGATGATATCGCAGCACCACACACGATATGTTAACTTCAGCACCACACCTCTCCAGGAGTGGTGCTGAAGTTAACTGAATGGTTTTAGTACTGATCTCTGGTTCCTTTCATTAAACATCAAATCTATTACCTCAAGTATGGATATATATATATTTAGAATGTCTCTAAGTTACAACTATTCTAAGTAGACAACTAATCTTTAAACAAAGACTCAATTTGTTATCATTAGTACGTTAGCCTAGCCTAACTGGTCTAACATATCTAGCACAATAGCCTAGCATAGCCTAGCCTAACGTTCTAGAAGGCAGATCTTCAACATTGTATACAAGTCCCTTGTCCTGTTGACTAGTGTTCCTAAAAGTCATTTTACCTCTCCTAGAATGAATCAGTGTCATTTAATCATCAGTGAATGCATTATTATTACTTAATTGTCCAGAGTAAATTATTTCATTCATTCCTTCCCCCTCTTCTGTGAAACTAGGTGGTTCAGAGTTATTAGAGCTGTAAAGGCCATGACTGTTTAATAATAATAGTTTGTTGTTATTAAATCAGGGTGGTGGGAGCGTAAGAGTTCTGTAATGTCATGGTTGTTGTGTAAGGACGGTTATATAGCGTTATAAAAGTGGTAGCAGAGAGATCTTTCTCTTACACTATCTCCCTCCATTTCTCTCTCTCTCTCTCTCTCTCTCTCTCTCTCTCTGTATGTCTCTCTGTATGTCTCCCTCTCTCTCTCTCTCTCTGTGTCTCTCTGTATGTCTCTCTCTCTCACATGTTCCTTTTCTCTTATTCTTCCTCTCATTGAATTTCTCTTCCCCCTCTCACTAAATCTCTCTTTCCTCTCTCGCTAAACCTCCCTCCTTCTCTCTCACTAGATATCTCTCCCCCTCTCTCTTTCACTTCTTTATTCTATTTCTCTTACTTTCTCTCTCTATCTCTCTTACAAACTCGCTACAAAGGGTGAGAACGGATTACAAATGATGGCAGCGGTGCTGATACAAATAGTCATCCTGGTTTGTTAAAACTTTAAGACATTGTATGTCTTAGTTTGACTTTATTAAAATATATATATTTACCTGGAGGGAGATGCCGCCCCTGGGGGAGTCGTAGTCAAGGACGGTGTGGTCGTGGTACCAGAGGAGGGCGGTGGGCGGCGCTGTAGTGTGGGTCACCACACACACTAGGGACAGTGACGACCCCGCCTGCAGGAACCTCTCCCGCGCCCCTAGGATGTATGTCCCATACTCCCCTGAGGCACAGTCGAACCAGTCAGAGAGAGAAGGGAAGGGAATTGTCGGGAAAGCGCCAATCCATGACGACTATGTAGCACTGGGAAGGGATCAGGATTAGGATTTGGAATGGGACGGGGAGGGAAGGAATGGTGTCCAATCACTTGGACGGTCGGGGATTGAACACCGACCTGCATGAAGCGAGACCGTTGCTCTACCGTCCAGCCCAAGTGGTTGGACTGAGAGAGAGGGGGACTGGACAGGGGCCAGATTCACGAAACTGTTTCGCAAGTACTTGCGAACGTGTTCATCTTTCCTCAATCTTTAGACGGCTTTTGGTTACATTTATTAAACAGTTTTCAAGCATGAAAATTTTACAATGAACTGTTGTTATTGTTATAAACATCCTCCTGGTGCTTCGAAGCTCAGTAACTGTTTAATAATTGTAAACAAAGCCGCCAATAATTGAGAAAAGATGTACAGGTTCGTAAGTGCTTGCGTAACCGCTTCGTGAATCTGGCCGCAGGAGTTTATGCTCCAGGTAAAGGTGTGAGCTGGTGAACTGTGTACATCGTCAGACACACACACATAAATGTATGTGTGTGTGTGCTTAAATTTGTCCTCATACAGCGTCATATATTGTACAGGACAACTAACAAAAAAAAAAATATACTCGGGCATTAATATAGCCTAAAAAATAGTCAGACACGGATCCTAAATAGCAGTCAAAAACTCATCAAAATATATATATAATCACAGACTTTAACACATTACTATAATAAATTAGAACATTAAGAAAGAAAGTGAAACATTTATAAAACAGATAACTATAGAGGAAAAAAAACAAATAACACTGAAACCTTAAAAAGAGGCAAATACGAAGCTGTAAAGAAGGAAAGAGAGGTAGAGTGAGAGTGTAGAAGAGGAGGAGGAGAGAACAATAGTTTTATGTATTTATTTATATATATACAAGAGTTCTTACATTCTTGTATTCTTGTAAGAACTCACCAGTGGCGCCAGGGAAGGGCGGGCTCCGGTGCAGCTGGCCGTCCAACACCCGCTTGTCTGCAGATAAAGATTAAACCACCCAAGAGGTGGCACGGGCATGAATAACCCGAAACCCCGTTTGTCTGCCGACAAATCATCACCAACAACTCATTCTCAATCAAAAAACTAAAAAAAAAAAACAAGAGAGGAAATATTAAACATTGACTAAAACACGGGTTGATCACCAGAATAAAGTGGCAGTGGCGATAATATAGTAATACTTTATTTGAATACATAAATGAATATATGAGTGAAGTTTCAGCTGGAGTTATAGCCTAGTGATGGCGGTATCCAGCGTGCATAAATATTGTTATCTCACCTCTCACGTCTCTTTATGGAGTAATTTCTTATGGAATGTATTACCATTATTATTGCTGGCACATTGTTAGTAAACCATTATGAAATTTTGGAGCATAATTATTGCTCGCTATTGATTTCTTGATCGAAGTTTGTTAGTTTCTTGTTTTTGTTTTTTTTAGTGTTTGAGGTGATGGCTGTGCTTTGTTGGTGTGTTTGGTGGGCGTCGTGGGTGTTCGGATCTGGCGTTTGTGGCCCAGTTTATATTTATATGAGGCATTTAAATGATCTAGTAACAGCCTAGTGACATGTACACAGCTTAGCGTAACCTACAGCCTGGTTGATCAGTCCAGTAACCAGGAGGCCTGGTCGACGACCGGGCCGCGGGGACGCTAAGCCCCGGAAGCACCTCAAGGTAACCTCAAGGTAACCTAGTCCTCAGTTCAGGCGTACTGCCATTCATCTCTTTACCATTACATGTCACCAAACGTGAACAATTTTTCTTTTATTGATGTAGACTTTATCTACAAAGTCGATGTAAACTTTATCTACAGGTCTACCGGTGTACAAACTGCAGTACCCATTTATGCTAGCAATCCTTATATTATGTTGACGAGTGTCTAGTTGACACATTCTGCAGTTGCAGTGCAATATAGCTCTAAGACAGGAATTGGTCACATGTTTTCTGAGGGCCATTTGAGAGAAGTTCATCAAGAAGGTGCTAGTTCAATAGCACCTAGTTAGCAGTCCTCGTGAGGTTGTGGTAAGATGCTTGCTCGCCTGGCATTTCGCGAGCACATTGTCCTGGGTTCGTATCCTGGCCGGGGAGGATTTACCGGGCACAAATCCTTAACTGTAGCCTCTGATTAATCCAACAGTAAAATAGGTACCTGGTTGTTAAACGATTTTGGCGGGTCGTATTCCGGGGAACAGGATTAAGAACTTGCCCGAAACGCTACGGGTACTGGTGACTGTAGAAGAATGTAAGAATTCTTGTATATATAAGTAAATAAAAAAAAAATTAGCAGTGTGCCATGAGAACCATACAACTGGTAACCATAGAACTTTCCTGTCCAGTTGTGTTTTACTACAATTTTACGATTCCTAACAATGTCTTCTTAAAAGTAGTTATGGCCTTAACAATGTGCTTATTTTTAATTATCTTTTTCTCGTAAGACGGAGAAAAACGTCACTCCCATTTTTTTTTAATTAAATCAATTCTGCTTTAGCAATTTACGCAGATTTTGTGAAGAAACTTTGGCATACAAATTGTCAACTGACATGCGAAGCTGTTCTCAGACGCGTCCAAGAGGCTGACGGAGCTGCTCCTCGCACGAGATGCTTAGTTTGTCCTGTTTTTGGTTTGCAACAATTTTAGCTCTTATTTCAACTCCTTCAGAGACGCCTGTAATGATCATGATCACTTTGACACGATTAGAGACCTATAGAAAGATCACGGACACTTGACAAGATCAGAGACAGCTGTAATATACCAATTACAGCTGTAATATCTCCGCAAGCTGTCTGAAACGTCCAGGAACTTGACAGCACCGCTCCTGTGCCAGGTAAGTCCACTACGGGCTCACCATAGCCCGTGCTACTTGCCCCGCTCCTGTGTTAGGTAAGTTACGGGCTCACCATAGCCCGTGCTACTTGGAACTTGTTCCGAGTAGCTGAATCTATAACAACACGTCTAGGAACTTAATATTGGGAAAGAAACATTGAGGGACTGGCCTTTCCCGGGACCTCCCAGCTCCCGTGACCCGCTACCATCAACAACCTGACCTGAAACTCGCTCCTCTTCACCAGAAACAAAAGGTCTTTCTACAAGTAAGTTCATCTTGTGTGTCGTTCGAAATTTGTATATTTTCCCCCCAGGAGAGAGTTTGTCCTGTGAAGAATAATTTGTCTTCCAGGTATTTTTTTTATTTTAATCGCTTTATCTCGATATGAATCTTAGTTGAGTAATTAATGACTAGCATATAATTCATGTTAAGTAATTTCTGACAGTTATGTAATTATTGCAACTTGTCCTAATGTTTACATAATACTTTTTGCGACTGTGGACCAACGCACATATATATATATATGTGTGTATATCACGAAAATAAACACGTGATTAAGAATGTGACAATGTCAGACCACGGAGGAAAAATGAAACAGGAAATTTCCTTAAGTACTTTCGTATATTAAATACATCTTCAGAAGGTCCAGACCTTCTGAAGATGTATTTAATATACGAAAGTACTTAAGGAAATTTCCTGTTTCATTTTTCCTCCGTGGTCTGACATTGTCATATATATATATATATATATATATATATATATATATATATATATATATATATATATATATATATATTGACGTAATCAGATAATAGAATGTGCTGCTATTTACTTGATAGTCCGGAAAAATAAATCTGAAAACCAAACTCAATTATTCCTGGGTCTAGTATAGCACATATATGTATTATATTAGGCCTCAGATAGCGTGTACGAGGCCTATTATGGTTAGGTTAGTTTTATTAGCAACATAAATACTAAACCTTATGCAGGCGAGGAGTCATAATAATGTGGCTGAAATATGTTGACCAGACCACACATTAGAAAGTGAAGGGACGACGACGTTTCGGATGGTCCAGGACCAACCGAAACGTCGTCGTCCCTTCACTTTCTAGTGTGTGGTCTGGTCAACAAAACCTTTTCCGGTTTGTCACATTTCTACTTTCTAATTATCCGCTACGTCACTGTATGTACGACCCTAAACATCGAAACAATAAGTACTATTTAACACAGGTGGATGGGATAAATTATTGACTGGGATAGGGTTTGTACGTAGATCATTTACAGCTTTAAAAATATATATATGTGTGCCTGCAAGATCAAACTATTAGCTCTTGGACCCCGCCTTCCAACTGTTGGTTGCCTGATGTACTAACTAACGACCTATTTTTATATATTGCATTAATTTAAAAACATTCGGAAGGCGGGACTAGGCACTGTCTCTGTGTATGTGTGCGTGTGTGAGTGTGTGTGTGTGTATCTGTCTGTGTATGTGTATGTGTATGTGTGTGTCTGTGTCTGTGTGTGAGCTGACAGATTCTAAACCTAGCCACAGAAAATTAATGCACTTCAGTATTATGATTAACAGAGGCAAAATAAAGACCTTATTAAATTTGAGTGAGATTATCTGGTACAACATTAGGCTATTTGCCTAATTAAAATCTTTCCTCGTGGGGGATCGCACGACATTTATTTGTTATCTATGAGAAATTTTACAGTTTTATATCATATTGACTCATTTAGCCTGAGTTGTCTGTCTGTTTGTTTGCGTCTCTCTCTCTCTCTCTCTCTCTCTCTCTCTCTCTCTCTCTCTCTCTCTCTCTCTCTCTCTCTCTCTCTCTCTCTCTCTCTCTCTCTCTCTCTCTCTCTCTAAAAAAAAATCGTAAAAAGCATAAAAATCGTAATCCTCTTATCTGCTCCAAATATTAAAAAAATCCAAATAATGTGTGAATATTGGCTAATTTGCACCTGAGAGCTAGTTAATTTTAATTACAATACTCAACTTGCGCTTGTATTGTTATTATTTATTGTTAAGTTATACAGTAGATATATCGGTATATTTATGGGGTGTTGAGGGGGAGGGGGGGCGCACACACTCAAACAGACAGGGGTTAGCAAAGTACTCAGGGATAAGCAAACTCATGACGGATATACATAAACACACACACCAATATACATATGTACATCCATACATACACACTAATACCACGGTGCACAAGGGGGGGGGGGTAGAAACAGCCTAAGTTACTCTATCCCTTTGAGATGTATTTCTTTCTTGTCTCAATAAACATACTTGAACTTGAATTTGAACGGTGCACAAGGGTCAAAAACCGCTTTGATTTTGACAGCTGCGTGGCCCAGAGAGCGAAATACTACGACGCACGTCCTCTAACAAGTATATGGTGTATTGGAAATCAAAATAATATTCAAATTTTCTTGTTAAGTTTAAAGTGGATATCAGAGTATCCGAGGTTTGAAAGTTCCCGGGAGCCAGTGAGGCAGTAAAAAGATAATACAAAAAATAAAAAGGATTAAGAAGGCAAGATCAACATCAACAGAAAAAGGGAAGATACAGAGAAGTATTATAGATACGATACATCTGCATACATCATAGATACATATGCAGTAACATTGTTTATATGAGTTTTACAAGTTTCTTTCCCATAGCCTCAACCACCATCCTAACATCACAAATTTAAATAAAGTAGACCTACCAGGGAACACGCCTACACAAGCACACATGATATTAGGCATATTTCAATATGAATATATATACGTGCATGTATTGATATACATGAGATAATAACGTGCAAGATATTCAGTGGAATTGACAGTATGGACAACGAGACAATGTTTAGAATAAGATACGTCGGTACCAGAGGACACAGGTGGAAGCTGGAGACACATGACCCGGAGACACGTCAGGACCAAAGGACACAGGTGGAAGCTGAAGACACATGACCCGGAGACACGTCAGGAAAAGCTTCTTCAGCTTAAGTCACAAGTAAAGGAGCGGGACACAAGACGAGATTCCAGTCATGACCAGGGAGGCTTGCCTGGGCGCCAATCCTTAACTGTTCGCCCTTGTTCACCCAGCAGTAATTTGGTACCTGGTTGGTAACCGACTGATGGATCGTGTTACAGGGAAAACTAGAAGGGTAAGGCTTATCATGAAGGGGAAAATTCTAAGCGTGGTGTCAGAAGTCGTCTGCTCCTGTACCTGCATGTGTAGGCACCTACCTGTGACTGTAAGGTAGACATTCCGGGCGATCTTGGGGTCAGCGTTCACCTGACACTTGTAGGCGCCGGAGTCTCGTGGTTGGCTGGACTGTAGCTGTAACGTCCAGTCATCTGTCTCCGAGCTGTGTAGTACCTGTTGAGTACACCACACACACTTGTACTATCACCTGGTTAGTGTACAGTATGCCGCTGTGTGTGTGTGTGTGTGTGTGTGTGTGTGTGTGTGTGTGTGTGTGTGTGTGTGTGTGTGTGTGTGTGTGTGTGTGTGTGTGTGTGTGTGTGTGTGTGTGTGTGCTCACCTCACCTAGTTGCGCTTGCGGGGGTTGAGCTCAGGCTCTTTGGTCCCGCTTCTCAACCGTCAATCAACTGGTGTACAGGTTCCTGAGCCTATTGGGCTCTATCATATCTACAATTGAAACTGTATGGAGTCAGCCTCCACCACATGTGTGTGTGTGTGTGTGTGTGTGTGTAAGAAACAGTAACACCATTACAAGATAGAATCTCAAGAACACACTTATCAACATACTCTTTCGTCCTGAAGACACTCTCACCCTTAAGACTTGAAGACACCCAGCACACACACTCTTCCAGCTTCCCGGTGTCAACTGGCCAATAATGTATGTGTACTTCTGTATAGTTTGAGCGTTGCTGGTGTATATCTTGTCTTGCTCTGTGAAGTCGTCTTGTGGATCCGTCTCACTGTTATTGCGTGAGAAGTTTATTGGTCCTTGAAATGTCAATTCTTTCTTGGGGATTTGGGCTGACGGAAGACTGAATAGGGTGCAAGACGATGGAAATACAAACTGGGGAAAGTACTTATGAACATCCGGCCAACCACAACAGTTAAAATGATAATAATAGTAACAATCAAAATAATACAAATAATAATAATTATTATTTTATGTATATTAAGATATTTGGTTTTGATGATGCTGATACATGAAGAAAATTATTTGGAACAAGGAGGGGATTCGAACCCTTGACCTGGGTGAACCAAAAACTGTCTGATAAACAGAGAAGCTTGTCATACCACAAGTATGACTTGAGAAGAAGAGAAGGGTGTAAATATAGTATATAGCACTTAGCTGGCTATATATTAAGAATCTGTTTTTATTATTTTGGTCTCTCTCTCTCTTTCTCTCTCTCTCTCTCTCTCTCTCTCACTCTCTCTCTCTCTCTCTCTCTCTCTCTCTCTCTCTCTCTCTCTCTCTCTCTCTCTCTCTCTCTCTCTCTCTCTCTCTCTCTCTCTCTCTCTCCCCTCCCGTTGCTGATCACTTCACTCCCCTCTCTCTCCTGTCTATAAGTGTTTTCTTGCATTCAATTTCAAACTCAATTTTCTCTAATTATTGGTTCAATCTTCCTTTGTAGAGCTTCTTTGTTTGATGAGAAAAGAGAGAGAGAGAGAGAGAGAGAGAGAGAGAGAGAGAGAGAGAGAGAGAGAGAGAGAGAGAGAGAGAGAGAGAGAGAGAGAGAGAGAGAGAGAGAGAGAGAGAGAGAGAGAGAGTACACGGGAAGAACTGATAAGCGAGAAGCTATAGGTTGGTGGCTGGGTTATCTTCCAGCAGGTAAAACAAAGAGAAGGTGCACCATTCTTTACTTAAAATGGCGCGAGATTCAACACGACAGGAGAAACATTGAGCCAAATCTTACAAGAGCTACAACCTGTGGTTGATAAGATCAACCTAAGAATACCAGACAGTTGTGCAGCCCAGATGGCGTCACTCTCACTAACCTCAACAAGCTGGACGATCCACCGGGGTCCACACGAACGACGGCCCCACAGTTCCGGTCCACTAACGGCCACTTTGAGCTCAACAACTACTGACTAGTTTGAACAAATCCACAAGAGCCATGACAAGGATTCGAACCTGCGTCCGAGAGCATCCCAGACGCTGCCTTAATCGACTGAGCTCAGGTTCGAATCCTCGTCACGGTCCTTGTGAATTTGTTCATTTGATGCATCACGCTATTGTGATTTCTGTGTGTATTGACTAGTTTCAGTGTTATCAATCACTACAAATCTCTTGGGACAATAATCACAAAACAAATGACAATTTATGTTACAGCTAAATGTAAATGTGTGGCCGCGAGGGTGATTAGAAAAGATTGTTCTGCTGCTGATCCCATGTTGAGTCTCTCCACTATGTGACGTTAATTACTTGAACAATGCAACTTGAGCTGTAGTGCTGCGCTGCACATAACAGGTGCCTTTGACAAGGCGTGGCACTGTGGCCTACAGGAACAGCTGCAACGACTGAGCGTTTGCGGATATTAGCTCACTACCTTGAAGAAATAGCGTCTAGAACAGTCATTGATGGATAATAACCAGTCATTGATCTGGAGCCAGCATACCACAGGGTAAGGTGCTTGTTCCAGTGTCGAATACTGGCGTCACCCGCCTGCACCTCACCCCTGGCACTCCCACCTTCAAGACAGTAAAAAAGATTTAATTTTCATCAAACAATTCAGTCATTATCTTCCTCATTACCAACTTCTGCAGTATTTGTTGATGTATTATCCTCGGACTAGTGTTACTAACACAAAATGGTGTACTTGTATATATAATACACTTGTGAGAGGTCAGAACAGGCAGCTGTATCTGTTGAGTCCGTCTGACAGTTGATTATACAGTTATGTTCCGTGATTAAAAGACACTCTAGGATTAAGCGTTTGGTGGAATCATCGTAGCATTTCACGCCGTTGACATATGCACCCAACGTCTATTTGGCGCCATTTTACCAGCACAGAAGTGCACGCCAGCGGCCCCGCTTTGTAGGAACATTGTACGAAGCGTGGGGGAAGTGTTGTTATGGTCCTCTTGATATACTGAACACTTGCACGGAGCTAACAGTCTCCCGACCAAGACAATTTATACAATATATTACTTTTCCTCAGGTGGTCGCAGTGTCGCGGAACGTTGTTCCTAATGATATGGTTTGACGACATTTTTAGAGTATATTATAAATTTTAGATTGTATCGTCGTTGCATTTTGCATTAGGGTTCATAATATCGTTCGTGTACTTGTAGGTGTCGCGTCTTAACACATACAATATATACAGTACGTGTGGAGGGTGTAGAAGGGCTCCCCCAGCTCCTGCATCCATTGTGAGGCTACACCTTTCCCGCCGCCTCCACTACCATGAGTATAGGGACTCCCAAAAATATGTAGATTAAACAACAATAAAACTGTTTCATGGAGGAGCTAACACTGGAACTTAAATATATACTTTTAAAGAGATTTTTCTTGAGCCTACATACTTTGGCCGGAGGAGTTTCCTTGTAGAATAGGCTTCCAGACAGCGGAGGAAGGCGTTGACAACAATGTATACATTCAATGACACTGACAGCACACTGACCAGCACACTGACAACACACTGACCAGCACACTGACAGCACTGACAACATTCACCAGAAACTTGGGTCAAATTCTCATTAATAAAATACCAATAACAACCGGACTTCCTCCGACCGACTCCTTTAATAAACTGGGGATCATGAATCCAAATTTAATAATACAAGCTCTATGGTACAATACACCCCAACATATATTTTGTTTATATACTCGTATATAGGTTGAGACGGAGTAAGGGAGCTTGTATTGAGTATAGTAATCTATGAGGGGTGGTGAGAGAGAGAGAGAGAGAGAGAGAGAGAGAGAGAGAGAGAGAGAGAGAGAGAGAGAGAGAGAGAGAGAGAGAGAGAGAGAGAGAGAGAGAGAGAGAGAGAGAGAGAGAGAGAGAGAGAGAAACAAAGATGGAGGGAAAGAGAAAAATAGAGAGAAATTTATAGCTTAAGTCAAATAATCTATGCGCTCGTAACCCACCTCCTCAGAATTCCTAGACATCTCCTCAATCCCCCCCCTCCTCCTCACTCCTAGGCACTTGCCTCACATTCCTAGGAACCTCTCCATATACGAAGGAACCATCCCCCACACACCTAAGCAGGTCCCCCACTTCTAGACACCATCACCCTAGCGTTCTGGGCAATGCCACCCAGACCCACCACCCCCATACACTCCCGAGCTCCACACCCACAATTGTTTGGCATCCATGCCATTATATAAGACACCGAAATACATTGTAATGAATATTGTGGATAGCGTCTTAAATAATATTAGTGAAGCAGTAGGTTGCTACCAGATACCTTTGTCGTATCAGTTATATTATAGAATGTTCTCCAATGTCCTGTGGGGGGCATTTTATAACAGTGATCTCTTACATAGTGGTACTCCAGTCAGGATGTTTATATCGTAGCTGAGTACCAGTTAGGTACTTCTCAGTCCCCTCCATTATTGTGGGAATTCATAGCCTAGTTGGTATCGCGTCGGTCTTGTATTTTTACTCGCCAGAGTTTGAATGTTCCATGACCGAAGTGAATTAAATTAATTTTATACACATATTTACACACATACACACACACACACACACACACACACATACATATATTATAGATATGTATATATATATATGTATATACAATATAGCCATATCTAGATAATTATAACAGCAGGTAGTAATTAGTGTAGACGTCTCTCCCTTTCTCCAAAGTTTACAAGAGATAGACTAAGGAAGCAAATGCCAGGCCAGAAGAATAAAAGTTAATGGGTGTAATTTCCTGGCTCTGAGGTGCAATAATAATAAAAGAAGACATTCCACAAACGACGTCTTGGTGGACGTAACACTGCTTGACTACTGATACTCCTCGCCAGGGGATCCAATCCTCCTCCCGGTCTTCTCAACCCTACCAGTACACTACAAATCCTATACATTATTAATATAAAACAGTTGACTATCAAATTTGTGGGCAGAGTGATACATATATATACAGGTGTATGCCTCTTCTCAGTGTATATTTGTCTTGAATAGTATACATGCTGATTGGTCGATATTTATTGTGGTAGCCACAATAGCCCCTTGAGAGGTTGAGAAGCGTTCAGCCCAACACCGAGCCAATTGCTGTGTGCAAGATCAATGTCTAAACAACTGTAAATGTCTTTGTTACAAGAGAAAGAAGGTTGGTGACTGTAACGGGGCCAGTCATGCTAAAGTGAGCTGCCAATTATGATGTTATTAACACCTTGTGGGGTACGGAAGAGGTACTCAAGATAACCTGAGGTCTTAAGATACCCTGAGATTTCTCGAGGAAATCCAGAGGGCCCCCCCCCTAGGATACCTTGGGGGCCTTCACTCAATATTAATTTTTCTGGCACTTTGGCCAATCATGTACCTAGGCCCGCTAGGCCTGGTACTCTTGGCCAGTCATGTACTAGGCCAATACTTCCTGTACTATATATATATATATATATATATATATATATATATATATATATATATATATATATATATATATATATATATATATATATATATATATATGCAATTGACGATCACAAAACACTGATCATTTTATGCGGAAAATCCACAGAGAAATATGTGAACATATTTCTCTGTGGATTTTCCGCATATATATATATATATATATATATATATATATATATATATATATATATATATATATATATATATATATATATATATATATATATATATATATATATATATATATATATATATATCCCATCTTAGACTGGAAGGAACTTAGTATTAATAAGTAATATTAATAAGGAAAAACAAAATACAGTTTCTCGGAGATATGAGTAGGGAAGCAGGTTGAGGCGAGTGTGGAGAGAGAGAGAGAGAGAGTGGTCAGTGTGAGAAGTGTGAGAGGCACTTCACCTGAGGTCCCTGGAGTAGCAGCTGGCTCTCACCTGGAACCTGTCGTCAGCTGTGTAGGTGACGAGGCCCACTGTCAGGATGTGGAGGTCCCGCACCCTCATCCACGTCACCTGCGGTACACGGTACACGTCACTTATACGTCAAGGTGTGGGGCGCTGGAGGGACGCAGAGAGGGACGCAGAGAGGGACGCAGGGTGGGATGCATGGATGGGAGAAGAAATACCCAAGTTCCCCCTTGTACCAGGTATGAATGTTAACATTAACCAAAATAATTGTTTAGCTTTTTTTAATTAAATTGTATTTGGCTTCAAAAGTTTAAACTATTCTAAGTTAAGAAAACATGATAGAGTTCGTAAGATTTAGGTGAAGACGGTCCCATCCCGAATCCTGTAGAACCTTTCATTTTAAGGCGGAGAGAGAGAGAGAGAGAGAGAGAGAGAGAGAGAGAGAGAGAGAGAGAGCTACTTCATCTTGCCAACATTGCTTTCTTCATCTTAATGGTCTTTTTCCTTCTCATCATATGTTGCTGCCATTCTATTTGTTCATGTTCTTGTTTTAATTACAAATTCTCTTTTGTTCGTGAACTCTTTTAATAAATAACTACTACAGAACATAATATATATTTGATGAAGTTAACTTGAAACTAAGTGACATAGACACACACAAATGATAACTTCAATACATTGTTATAGTTTCATTCTCAATTTCGTCACACAAAATTATATATATATATATATATATATATATATATATATATATATATATATATATATATATATATATATATATATATATATATATATATATATATATATTGATTTGAATGTATAAAGACGAACGCTGAAAGAAAAATGGTTTTGGAAAAGAATTAAGACAGGAAGCATTGCGGTAAGAATTTCCGCCTTATAAAGCCTCGCACATTACTGGTGCGCGGACAGGCGGACAGGCGGGGGAGGTATTGTGGAGGCGAGTGGAAACTCTTGTGTGCCTGCAGCCATGATAGCCAGAGAGAGAGAGAGAGAGAGAGAGAGAGAGAGAGAGAGAGAGAGAGAGAGAGACAGAGACAGAGACAGAGAGAGAGAGAGAGGAGAGAGAGAGAGAGAGACAGAGAGGAGAGAGAGAGAGAGAGAGAGAGAGAGAGAGAGAGAGAGAGAGAGAGAGAGAGAGAGAGAGAGAGAGAGAGAGAGAGAGAGAGAGAGAGAGAGAGAGAGAGAGAGAGAGAGAGAGAGAGAGAGAGAGAATGGGGGTTGGGAGGGACCGTTTAGTCAAGAAGAACTATGGAACACACAACTTTTGGGCGAGAAAGCAGGAAGGTTACAGTGGGTGGTGAGTATGATAGCATATCTCCTTTGTATGCTAAGTATATGCTCTAATTTCTTTAGAATGTATTGTTAATAATATGCATACTTAAAGGGCGAGGGGAATTTTATTAATCTTTCAGATTTTCCTGCCCACCCTCTCTCTCTCTCTCTCTCTCTCTCTCTCTCTCTCTCTCTCTCTCTCTCTCTCTCTCTCTCTCTCTCTCTCTCTCTCTGCATTAACTATGAAAGGTTCTACAAGATTCAAGATAAGAGGAACATCTTTATCTTACAGGCTCATGCATGTTTTTCTTAACTTAGAATATTTTAAACTTTTAAAGCCTAACATAAGCTAATATTTTTTTTCTAAAACTACTCTTAATTTGTTTCTTCTAAAAATTGCTCTCAAAACAAAGCGCGCGCCCCGGTTTGTAATATTTCAGTGGTATTCAAGAGGCTAGTTAACATTCAGTTTAACAACCTAACTACCTAATTGATGTGATGACTGGTTGTTAAGACAACGAGGACAGTGAAGGGCGCCCAAGACAACACATGCCCACCATTACACACTATGGAGCCGGTTCGCTGCGTGCCAGGAGGCACTTCAGTGCCACCTATACCACCGTGACAACACAGACATCACTGTAATTAATGGTCTGGGCAGTTAGGCTGACACATGGCTCTAATGAGGCACGGTTGTTGGGTAATTAGTAGGGCAATTAGAGTTGCAGGTCAATAAAGAAGCAGAGTGTATGATACACAGCGTCTGCTGAGAAGGCCACACAGTAAAGAAGACGGCTAAAACGCACAATACTGAGCAGTTATCGCTGCTTATCGGAACCCTTGCGTTTATTGATTTCAAGAGACGGGTTATGATACCGTCGGGGCCCAGGAGCAGAAGCACTGCAATTCTTCCTGGCCTGAAAAAGATTTTGAAAAAAGATTGGCCAGATTCACGAAGCAGTTACGCAAGCACTTACGAATGTGTACATCTTTCCTCAATCTTTGACGGCTTTGTATACATGTATTAAACAGTTTACAAGCATGAAAACTTCCCAATCAACTGTTGTTATTGGTATAAACAGCCTCCTGGTGCTTCGGGGCTCTTTAACTGTTTAATAATTGTAAACAAAGCCGTCAATGATTGAGGAAAGATGTACAGGTTCGTAAGTGTTTGCGTAACTGCTTCGTGAATCTGGCCCCAGACCCTCCCAGAAGGGAAAGAATCGTAAGTAATAAGAACAGGAAAATAACAAACAAAGCCTCAGCTGTATAAACAATAGGTCTACTGACATCCGCAGATTTAAATATAAACATTTTCAAACAACAACCATCTCACGAAATAAAAATTCGTTAACACACCGAAAACTCCAACCAAAGAGGTAGAATGAGATTAAGCAACGCCGGAGAGGCCTTCAAAAATGTATTGATGGAGGGTGTTCGGAGAGCGAGGCGCCATCCTGGCTCCCATAAACCCGCCATGAAACATGAGGCTTCGTTGTATACACCTGTCTAACTTTACCTGTGTGTGTGTGTGTGTGTGTGTGTGTGTGTGTGTGTGTGTGTGTGTGTGTGTACTCACCTAGTTGTGTTTGCGGGGGTTGAGCTCTGGCTTTTTGGTCCCGCCTCTCAACCGTGAATCAACAGGTGTACAGTGTGTGTGTGTGTGTGTGTGTGTGTGTGTGTGTGTGTGTGTGTGTGTGTGTGTGTGTGTGTGTGTGTGTGTGTGTGTGTGTGTGTGTGTGTGCGCGTGCGTGTGCTCTCTCGCGTGTGTGCACACACATGCGAAATGTTCGTAGTAGAATCCGTCTCTCATTTACAATACCACGAATCCAAAATGAATCCGGTCTTACCTAAAACGTTTCCAGATACGAGACTATTTCCACTCGGAACGTTTTCGGATATCGTTCGCTGATATCGTAAATTCTGAGCAGCTTTAAATGTCTCGTGGGAAATAGGACAGAAAATGGAATAATAAGGATTGACATGATGGATCGGATGGATGATTGTTCACAAAAGGGTGAGATTCGGAGTGGCAGGGTTCGACGCGGCCAGAGGACACCCTCACTAGATATCAGAGCCGTGTTTTAGGATCCATCTCCTCTACACAAACATCAGAGCACTGATATCTTATTATCTTACACTATATCTGTATTATCTGTATTATCTTACACAAAAGTGCTGTTTTAACCTGTATTTTCTACTTATGTTTTGATCTGGAAATTGCAACGTGGCGCTGTATTTAATATATTTAATTCTGTCGGGGGACAGGCAGCCAGTGTATATATATATATATACATATGTTAAGCTTATATCGAACTTCCCCCCCCCCCCCGGGTGAGACTACTGACCCTCCCCAGGATGCAACACTGAGGTAAAGACTCATTATCGGTACTATCCGTCACTTTAATCACCTCATTTCGCTTGATAGAATGTTGAGATAACCAATAATTAATAACAAAATATATCAAATCCTCATCTTGTGGGATGCTCAGTAGCCTATGCTCTCTGCTCTTGCTTCCTCGGGCGACAGACAGACACAAACTACCAAAGTTGGTCAGTTCATTAAAAATGTGTTTAACTCATAAATGCAGAAATCCACTGGCGAATCCTATCAAATTATCCACCTCTCCTGTAAATCCAATTATGATTCATTGCCATAATTAAAATCATACAAATCCGGTAAACTCGGGTAATCCCAGGGAGGTAAATTATTCCAAAATCACAGTAATACATTATAAACATATCCCAGGATCAACAGTAAACAATCAATTGCTTTTATGACGGTGTTTGGAAGTAATGACTTAAGTGTTATTGTGCAGAGTATTGTATAGCAGGTGTAGCGTACAGGTGTGTCCTCCCTACACCTGTGATACAGCTACACCTGCATAATAAATATATATAAATATATATATATATATATATATATATATATATATATATATATATATATAATATATATATATATATATATGCACTTTATACAATAAACAGCAGGTGTTATATCAAGCATTTAATAAGATACTTATTTTCTTAGATTTTTTCCAACATCTAATTATCCACTTAAATCTAATTCCTGTCTCATTAAATTACACAATAAATTCTTCAACAAATTTATATCAATACACTGAAGGACGAAACTAATCACTGCCACACACATATGTTGTACAAACAATAATCATTTAACCGATATTTTCACGTAACACTGCTATGAAACAATTCAGAGTCACATCAATCGCGTGAACAGAAAACGATTACAGATCCATAAAATTAACCGGAAACTTAGTTAAACGTATCCGGTAATCCCCCTTGGAAAGCCCCAAGTCAGTCTGCCTATAGAGAGCCACGGAGCGGCCACATACTTACGGATCTGGCCCCCAGCATGTGGACCCGGCAGGTGAGGTAGGCTGTCTGGCCGGATATAAGGGTGAGGTTGGTAGGAAGGCCCGCGAAGTAAGGCTGGGGACGCCCTATCCACCACCCGCTTCCCTGGGGCGTCGACCCTGGAGGAATACCACAAGTTTACTATTGTACCAGGGGTAAAGCACCTTTAAATATATATATTATACTTATTTTTTAGGCTGAAAGATCTGAACAGAAGAGCAGATTTTTTTTTGTTTTAGAATAAAAGTTTTTTTGTGGTGTTGGACGTGTAAGAGGGGTCCAGTGTAGGACTGTTGTGGTGTTGGACGTGTAAGAGGGGTCCAGTGTAGGACTGTTGTGGTGTTGGACGTGTTAGGGGGTCCAGTGTAGGACTGTTGTGGTGTTGGACGTGTTAGGGGGTCCAGTGTAGGACTGTTGTGGTGTTGGACGTGTTAGGGGGTCCAGTGTAGGACTGTTGTGGTGTTGGACGTGTTAGGGGGGGTCCAGTGTAGGACTGTTGTGGTGTTGGACGTGTAAGGGGGTCCAGTGTAGGACTGTTGTGGTGTTGGACGTGTAAGGGGGTCCAGTGTAGGACTGTACACAGGAAGGTGTGGCGGGGTCGCTGGTGTGGGTGTCGTGACGGCATCTCGCGGAGCCGTAGATCCTCTGGCCGTAAAAACAGCTTCCCTAAGGAACCATTAGGATGCGCCGCTGCACAAATTCAACACTAAACTGAGCTTTATGGTCACACGTAAATTATTTTAGTTTCAAGTCAGTGCTCCGATGCGTTCTCGAGACGTCAGGAGACGGAGAGACGTTCTCAAGACGTCAGGAGACGGGGAGACGTCTCTCCCAACGTCACATACACAAATAACCTGTTTCAGGTCATGACAACAGAACGAAAGACTGGTGGAAACAGGAGACAACGGAATGAGAGATTGGTGGAAACAGGAGAGACAACGGATGAGTCACATAGAGGGATCTTGAAAAATGGATTAATAAATGCAACCCGTCCTCGACTCAAGTCCATTACATCCAGCGGTCGACCCCCACAGACGCATTCATCAATTTTTTACATGCTGTTCATTCAAAACGGGAATTTTCTCCTTTATAAATTAATATTATAATATATTAGCATATTGTGTATATATAGGCATAGGTTAGGTGTTTAGGTTCTGTTGGCGATTATTTGTATTTGTAGTACGTGGGTGAAGCATTTACAGCGTTGTGGTTCGAACAAAATTCGTTAGTGAAACACTTATTCCGGATATGTTCGAACGTCAGCAGTTGTGAGTTGTGTGTAAACAGTTTCTCATTCATAAACAGGGGGTTTGGCGGGTGCATGGAATCACTTTTGGATCTTTGTTTGGAGGACAGGCTGAATAAATGATTCACATGTTTTACTAACGACCGTTCATCTTTGACCATTTTGCTGTCATTCTAATCCAGCATATTGGAGACAGTACATAGAGGCTCGCGGTATTGGGGGTGCTGTCTTAAGATGGGATAAGGGCATGTTTATATCAAATCAAAGGAAATAGAGTTAGTATAGAGTTAAGAGCGGGAAACCCTTGTAAGTGGAGTGCCTCAAGATTCCGTCCTGAGGCCTCTGTTGTTTATAATGGTTTAGATTCAGGCTTCAGCAGCAATATTTGCAAATTTGTAGAGGATACGAAAATTTAGAGGGAAATAAATTCAGAAGACTCAAAATCACTTCACGCCGAACTAGATAGGCTTTTAAAATGGCCGAAAGATCAGCAGATGAAGTTTAATGCTGACAATTGTAAGGTTCTGAGGCTCGGTAATGATGATAGCGTTACAAGATATCAGCATCCTTGATATCAAGATATCAAGGATGGCATTGAAATAGCGAAAAAGATCTAGGGGGGGGGGGGGGTAATAATTAGTAAGAATTTAAAGCTAAAAAATCAATGCATAAATGTTCGAAATAGGACAAATATGATTATTTGCTATATCTGCTATCCTTCAGCAACATCTTGGTCCTGTTAGGGCTCATTTAGATTATACAGTTTAAGTTTGGTCGCCATACTATAGAATGGACATAAGTTCACTAGAACGCGTTCAGCGCAGCATGACAAAGTTAAATTAGAAATATTCCATATGAAGAGAGATTAAAACAATTTAATATGCATTGTCTAAAAAGGCGAAGAATTAGGGGTGACATGATTGGCGTTAGTGATTCACTGCTGACCATCATAACCTCTGGTCAAGAGGTACACACGCAACAGTGGCGCACACACACACACACACACACACACACACACACACACACACACACACACACACACACACACACACACACACACACACACACACACACACACACACATACACACACACACACGCACACACACACACACACACACACACACACACACACACACACACACACACACACACACACACACACACACACACACACACGCACACACACAGGGGACACAGGTGGAAATTGAGTGCCCAAATGAGCCACAGAGATATTAGAAAGAACTTTTTTAGTGTCAGAGTGGTTGACAAATGGAATGCATTAGGAAGTGATGTGGTGGAGGCTGACTCCATACACAGTTTCAAGTGTAGATATGATAGAGCCCAATAGGCTCAGGAACCTGTACACCTGTTGATTGACAGTTGAGAGGCGGGACCAAAGAGCCAGAGCTCAACCCCCGCAAGCACAACTAGGTGAGTACAACTAGGTGAGTACACATACACACACACACAGGGCTGGAAAGGCGGGATCCAAGAGTCAATGCTCGATCCTGCAGGCACCACTAGGTGAGTATACACACATAACTTAACCCTACAGTATTGCCAGTCATTTCATCGACCAACAAATCCCATCAATTAGTAAAACTTGTGCTTATGGGCGTCGTAAGTATCTGGCAACTGTGTCTTGAAAGGTTTCTAAATTTATATTTACTACTAAAACTGTGTGATCCACTGTTGGAACACAGCTGTATTAGCTGCGCCTGTTGGCGTGTGCTGGTGGTACTCACCTAGATGTGCTTGCGGGGGTTGAGCTCTGGCTCTTTAGTCCCGCCTCCCGCAATTCTTTTGTTGGCCAGTCTAGTATATGCTGCTGATGTTTTAACTCAATTTTTTCCACACTCTGACCCCCAGGAAGCAGCTCGTAACAGCTGTCTAGCTCCAAGGTACCTAATTTACTGCTAGGTAACAGGGGCATCAGGGTTACCTTACCTTGAGGTTACCTTGAGGTGCTTCCGGGGCTTAGCGTCCTCGAGGCCCGGTCATCGACCAGGCTTCCTGGTTGCTGGACTGATCAACCAGGCTGTTGGACGCGGCTGCTCGCAGCCTGACGTATGAATCACAGCCTGGTTGATCAGGGTGAAAGAAACTCTGCCCATTTGTCTCTGCCGGCGCCGGGAATCGAACCCGGGCCACAGTATTACAAGTCCCGCACGCTGTCCACTCAGCTACCAGACCCCTCTGGTAGCTGAGTGGTGGTGTGTATGTGCTGGTGATGTGTGTGGTGGTGGTGGTGGTGTGTTCATGAACGTGGTGTGTGGTCTATCAATTTTTTAGATAGGCCAATTCTATCAAAGTGGTCTATCAACAATTCCTTCGGCTCATTTGCCAGCTTCCACGTATGTCCTCGCGTCATACACTCTATCAATTTCGAGAAGCCGTTGTCCACCTTGTTTAATCCCTCTCAGTATCTTGTATGTTGGGATCATGTGCCCCGCCCACTGTTCCTTCTCTCCTGCAGGGCTGTGTTATGGTGTGGTGGGTGGTGGTGTGTGATGGCGTGGTGGGCCATCATGACCTCAGTGTTCATGAACTACCCACAACTGCTCTCTCCTCAGGCCGGTATACGGCAAAGTGCCACACCAAACGACCCTTCGCGCTCATTACAGCGGTCCACCACACAAGTATCAGACATTATGACCTTTTAAGTACGTAGTGGAGAGGCGAACAAGCTGGTGGTCAGCTGGTCGTCAGCTGGTCGTCAGCTGAGTGACTGTGGTAGTGTCAACAAACTGTGACGTCACGTCACCTCAATATATTCATTACCTAATTTTAAAGCTACACACTCAAGAATTATTGTGCATCAGGCACACTCAATTATACCAAATGGGAGCACGATAATACTCACAATTCTTTCTGTTTCATATTTGCAGTTCAAACTTGTTCAATTAACAACTATAATGGAGCAAGGTGGACTATCATGGGTGGAAATAATGTTTTCAGTTCTCATTGTGTATTCGATTATGGGAAAACTAGTGACCATTTTATGGGCGAAAACCAGAAAATGTAGCAATGAGCCGAGACGAATAGCCATGACAGGCTGTGTTAACAAGGGTCGTCACTTGTGTGTTTAAACCATCACATTATTGCTGTGTAAGGCGACCATGTCTCACGTCATGTGCTTGCGGGGGTTGAGCTCTGGCTCTTTGGTCCCGCCTCTCAACTGGCAATCAACTGGTGTACAGGTTCCTGAGCCTACTGGGCTCTATCATATCTACATTTGAAACTGTGTATGGAGTCAGCCTCCACCACATCACTGCCTAATGCATTCCATTGGAATGTGTGTGTGTGTGTGTGTGTGTGTGAGTGTGTGTGTGTGTGTGTGTGTGTGTGTGTGTGTGTGTGTGTGTGTGTGTGTGTGTGTGTGTGTGTGTGTGTGTGTGTGTGTGTGTGTGTGTGTGTGTGTGTGTGTGCGTGTGCGTGCGTGTGTGCGTATACAAACTTAGATTTTAGTTATAAATTTAATTTTAGCCTCATTTATTTTAACAAATCCAAACAACTAGAAAGACATATTGGCAAAATATGTTGTATAACAACAGAACAATTAGACTTACATCCACGAAGTATACCACATGAATACATAGTAACTTGCCTTGTTCATCAACTACAATGAAATACAAATCACGAAAATATAATTATAAGACACATATTGAGAAAAAACAGCTGCTTATGATACGATACTATTTAAACTTATATAATTAATATGTACGCAGAAGATTATCCACATTAAAAACTGTAAGTATAAATCCTACACACTTTCAAATATATAAGAATATATTTTTTTTCTTTCTCACAAGAACAGGACATAATATACTATGCACGTATAATGAGCACGTGAAGGTCAACACTAACAAGG